ATTACATTATTCCTTTCATTTTTAACTTCCCCCTAGCGAAGTTGATTTTACCAGAAATTTGACTCCGAAATTGGAAAAAGTATGTGTATGTGTATGCGAACCAAGATTTTTCGTCGACATTTTCTCAAAAACTGCTGCACCGATTTCAAAAGCGTAAAAGATATTTGTTCCAAAATATATTGATAATGACTTGCATTGATTTTTTTATAATAGACGGGTACTAGTAAATTTTTATTTCAGCGTTTTCATCAAAAATTTTGAGCAATTTTGTCAATTCAAAAACCTTCCACAAAGATATTAGTTGGTCATCGTGGTGATTAGTTCTTGGTAAGGGGGTGTCCATTAATCACGTGAGGTTTTTAGGGGGAAGGGGGTTTGACAAAAATCACAAAATATTACGTGGGGGAAGGAGGTGTATAGTAATTTACCACGTGTATTTATTTTTTACCTGAATTTTTTTTTTAAAAAAACAGAATATTTACAATTTTTCTCATAACTATAAATACACATGATATTTGGTGGGGAAAGGGGGTAATTTTGAATTACACTACAAGGAAGGGGTCCAAAAATATTCAAAAAATCGATCACGTGATTAATGGAGACTCCCAAAGAATTTTCTGGGCCGTTTTCACGATATTAATTGTTTAATATAACATTTTAGTAGAACTTTGCACAAGGATAGGGTTCATGGTCTTAACGAACATCCTAAAATATTATAGGCCAACGAAAAGTAGTTTAATTTTAAATTTAAATAAACACTACGTATGTATTGAGCACGTAGTAAATAAACAAGTGCTTATTAGGGCATTTTATTATTATAAAATATTATTTACACATACAGAGTAGTTTATGTAACATGCCTTTAGGCAAAATATCACTATATTATATTTACTCTGAATAAATTTGTGTTATACCCAGGGTAAAGTTATTTATTTTTATGAAGCAAAAATTTACGATTTTATTTTAATGTAATTTCAAATTTTATTGTGTTTTTATAATATATTCAAATACAAAAATTGTTCAGTTAATAGCAAAGTTATTCGATAGCGAAAATAGATTTATTTTTTTTTGTTTACAATGTCATATTAAGTGTTGTCTTTTTTTAATAAGACAAATTTGTTTTATTTTCTTAATTCAGATTTTAAGAACCTTGTTCTTTATTTATATTTATCAAAACTATTATAATGTTACTATCAACTATTAAAATGTTTAAATTTTTTAAATACATAAGATTATTAGTGTTCTTGGTACGTCACTTATAAAAGAAAAGAAAAATTAGAATTAAATTATTATTGGTAGTAATATGCAGGTTCGAATTTGTATTGATCTTTTTTCTTTAAATATTCAAAGTAAATAAGTAAATTTCATATTTTTATCGCATAATCTACAAATTCCAGCTGTACTAATACAGAATTCCAATAGATATTTAAATAAAATAAATATACAATATTTAAATGTTCTTACATAAAGACATCGGCAGCAGTTCCGTTAATCATTAAGTCTCTTGTTAAAAACTTGCATAATTTAACTATAACAAAAGTATCATTTTTTATTTAATTTTTGTATTTGATTACTAATTTAAGATACATTGATATCAATACTATATCGACCTGTAAACTAATAATCGGCTTATAATTTTCATTAATCGTATGTAAATGTTTTTTGAATTATTGAAATCGAACGCTTCGTTTTCTTGAGAACTGAGTTACCGTTTGTGGCACTTTTTGCCCCGTATCTTAGAAACGGCTAGAACTGCCTATGCCAAAAACTAATCCGCACGTCTCTTTACCAACAGCAATCGAATGTTTTTTGAATAATTGAAAGCGGTTGAACCGTGTTCCCGAAATCTTCGACGAAAATTTGTATCCGCACACACACACATGCACACGTACACACATACACACACACATACATAGATTTTTTTTAAGGTATGCCAAAATGTTCAGAAACCTCGAAACGTAAAGATATATAAAAATTTTCATTTTCGATTTCTTTGCGATTACTATAACTTTCCCTACGGGAAGTTAAATAATAAAAAAAAAATCTAATTTTTCAAAAAAATCTATTTTTTTCAAAAATTTCAAAGTTTCTCAGAAATCCAATTGTTTCAAAGTTTTGCAAAGTTTTTTTTTTAATAATTTAGTTTCAGGTACGGGAAGTTCTAGCAATTTGCCTTAAGGCACGATGCCATGCGCCCCACTAGTTTTTATTTATGAATGAGAAATTTTCAGTTGATTGATCTAATTTTGAGTCCTTCAAAAGATGTGCATTTTACCAAGAATTACTTATAAAGTCAATAAACATATTGAGAATAAGAAATTATTGATTTATGAAGAGGTTTCTGTTTTGTTTATAAATCGAACACCGACTTACGATATTTGTGTTAACGTATATAGTTCTTTGAAAATCAATAAGTTATTTTGGTCTTCAGTTTATTATATGTATATATTGATACTAAAAGCACGTGCGTAAGCTTTTGCTCGCAGATGTGAGAAACATTATCCTATTTTTTTTTCAATATGAGCTTTATACATATGCGCGTTATTATATTAACACACCACACAATCTGATATATATATATATATATATATATATATATATATATATATATATATATATATATATATATATTAGGGTGGTCCTTAATATGGACATTTTCGAATTTCCTTGCTCCCAAGGGCTCAAATGGTTCCAAATTGATAAAAAATAATTTTCTTAAAGTTTTCTCTCTTAATATTGTTTTTTAGATAGAGCGCAACTCAATCAAAGTTTTATATGAAAATAGCATGAAAAAATTTTCATGCGGGTCGATTTAAAGGTCACTTAGGCACATATGATATTCAGATTCTAGGGATCAAAATAAGATACTTTGCTGAAGAAACCTTAATTCTAAAGTGAATTTTGGTGCCCCGTGCATTGACCCAAAAATAAGGGTTAATATAAAATTTCAAATATATCATAATTAAAATGAAGCTCATATTAAATTTGTTTCAATGTGCGATGGTATTGATATAATTTAATTTGCAACATTTATGGTTATTTATAAAATAACAAAAATAACACACACACACATAAATAAAACATGTATATATATATATATATATATATATATATACAGGGCCGGTCCTGGGGTCCTCAGCGCCCGCATGCAAGATTCGTTCTTGCGCCCCCCCCCCCCCCCCAAATAAATTTAACTGTTTATCATTTAAATGTTTATCATTAAAAGTATATAAATATTTAGATTTTTTTAAATAAATTTTTAGTTATTCTGTATTTAGTACACAAAAATTTAGATATAATCTAAAAGCATATAAAATATACATCGATTTTAAATTTATTTAGAAAATCGAAGTAATTCGCGGGTTGATTATTTTTAACGTATGTGCAATATTGATATTTGTATTTTGAAACATTTTACTTATTCATTATGCGATTTATTTCTATAAGCAAATCATTTTCAATTATAACACTCGTATTTCATGTTGGATTTTCAAATTTTTAATTTAATTTAATTTTTCATTATTTATAGTATTCATTCTTGCTTTTCCGTCATATTCAGAGTATCAGATTGTTTCAATTGTGATTGTGATAATTTTTTAACGTATTTTAGAAGTATTGTCTAAAAATCAGTAAAAATGCAAAAAAATTACACATTTTTTAACTATATTGAAAAAAAAAACTAATTATATTTGATATGTATTATTTCTGCATAGTTAATATAATTATTAAATTTAGAGTATGGACACTACTAGGTATAAAAAAAAGCCTTAAGTAATTCATTCCAACGTAAATTTTGCTTTTATTTTTTATACTTGTTCCATTTTCATAACCCTAACCACGCATGTCTTCAACATACAAAGTTCATCACATGAGAAACATTTGCAACAAAAACACAAGTTACAATTCAATTTCTCTGAATAAAATTTTCTAAGCACTGACTCCCCATTTTTTATTTTCTCGATTATAATTTGTTTATGTTTTTTAAAAAGTTCCGTTTCAACTAAATCAGCTCGCAATTTATCGTCAATAATGCCCAATAATTAATTTAATCTTTCGCAGGTTTGCGCTTATGGGATTGAACACTAGATAATTTATTTTTTGATTCCACGGTAACTTCAAACAAAGAAAAAATTGAATAAGTAAATTAATCAATAAACAGAACTGTTATTTGCTAATTTGCAGAGTTATTAATCGGTTAATTGTTTCTACTAATATCACATTGCAAAATAAATATGCCTTTTAAGTTTCCGTATCCCTTGTTAAGTTAGATTGTTTATTATAATTTATTAAGTATTCTAAATTTCATATGAATAATAAAAAATATAAATAATACATTATAAATTTAATTTCCGAATCTCGATTTGGCGCCCCCTAAGGCTTGCGCCCGCATTTTTTGCATGCATCGCATGCAAGGCAGGACCGGCCCTGTATATATATATATATATATATATATATATATATATATATATATATATATATTTGAACTTCGAGACACAAATCGTTATATGTTGTATGTGTATATATTAAATCTTCTGCACATATAGGTTGTATACATAATAAACACTTCGTTATAAACCACTCGGTAAATGTTCAATGTTTTTCATCTTGGATGTTTATTATTTATTTATAAACCTTTCTGGAATAAATACAAAGCAGATAATCCGTGTAAACTAAATGTACATAATAAAGAATGAGTGATGCATCTGCTCATAAATTTTAAATGGCGATTTTTAACTTACCGAAAGAAAAGTTTGTTTTCTCGAAAAAAAAAGGATTTGCTAATTTTATGCTTTTTTGACGTTCCAAGTTATTTTGGATCGGATGAGACCAAATTTGGAAAAGGTATCTGAGCGGCTGGAACGATTTCAAAAATTTAAAAGTCATACCATATAACTCGATAAAGACTTTCGCTGATCAGTTTTGCGCGATGATCGGCCAAGTCCTTTCTTTGTAATCAACAGAAAAGTATAAGAATTACTGAAATTGTAATTTATTTTCAGGTATGACGAAGGTCGAGATGGATATTTGGATTTGGGTGAATTAAAACGCATGATGGAGAAATTAGGAGCTCCTCAGACCCATTTGGGACTCAAGGCTATGATTCAAGAAGTAGACGAAGATTTCGATCAAAAAATATCTTTCAGAGAGTTTCTGCTTATCTTCAGGTATAGTTAATCAATTGTACATTGAAAATCGTTTAATTTAATGAGAATATGTAAATTCTGAGAAATGGAATTTAAATTGTCAAGAATTTTCAACATTATATGGTTTAAATCTTTATAGGCAAATGCTCTGCAATTTTAATTTGTTGGAAAGACAGAGATTTTTAACACCAGCGGTATTATTCTAATTTATATAATACATTTTTTTTATTATCCATTTGAATACATTTTCGATGATATATTTATGATAAATTTAAATACTCAATTCTAATAGTTCTATGAATTTCAAACGGGTGAATAATTTTATTTTATATTTATAAATATTCGTGCTTTTTAACACATTATATTATATTATTGTTATGCATATATTTTACAAAATCAATAGTATTTTACAATTACTGAAATTAAAAAGTAAATCAAATTGAAGTTGATTTGCATTATTTGCCTTGCTTTTTATACAGAATAACTATGTAAAATATTTTGATATCGAAATTCTTCATATCATATAAAAAGACTCTTGTCTCCAGAAATATTTGCAGAGTTTCATCATACTCTGGAATTTTGTAGCTACATATTTCTTATTTTAATAAGATATTTTTTATCATAATTTTGTTCTATTTATTTGTTCATTATAATTATTTTAATATTTGCGCAGAATTCTGAAAACTGTTATGCTCCTTTTGCATTATCTTAGATTAACTTTAATAATATGTTTTTGGATCGCGTTTTGTAATAAAATATTTGTAAATTATAAAAACATTCTGAAATTGCAACATTATTAAAAAAAAATGTTTGCCAAATGACCTAACGATCATAATAAAACTAGTTGGTATTGGTATTTTGCCTTGAGACAAGTTACAAGAACTTATCGATATGTGCAATTAATCAACTTAATCCATAAAAAATAAATTAATTTATGAGTGATTAAAAGTATTCCAAGTGGATTTATTACACCTAATTGAAAACGAACGAAGACGTTAACTCGGAGTATTTCCTAAAAGCAAATTTTCACAAATCAATAATTTTTATAATTGAACCAGTTTCCGTAGAACTTTAATGGTTTAGTATGTTTATTAAGACCAGGTACTCTATTATTATACCAAGTAAATCGTCTAATTTTGATTTTAACAAACGTCAAAAAAACTACTCATTTTCTCAAACTTTGATAATTTTTTAAAATTAAACTGCTTGTCGTAAGGCCGTAATATTTCAATAAGTTGTGTAAGACCATGATATATATCATCAAAAAAAATTCATTAAAATCGGCACAAATTTTTTTTCAACAACGAATTACCAGAAAACGGCTTGGTACATTTTTACCTAAAACTAATCAGTATCATTCCCTACTAATATCTTTCAAATAGTTTTTGATTTTTAAAATCGATTCGGTAGTATCAGCTTAAATGTGGATGAAAAGTTTAACACTTCTTTCGAAATGACAAAGAAACGGCTCGGCAGATCGTCACACAAAACTGACAAACGATAGTCCTCATTAAAATACATTAAATGGTTTTTAAATTTCAGAAATTGGTACAGGCGTTTTTGAGAAAACGTCTTTCAAAGGTCTAGTTTTGACAAATGCCAAAAAAACGATACTAATTTTTGCAAACTTTGACGAATTTTTAAAGCTAAACGAGTTGTCGTAGGGCCGTAATATCTTAGTATGATCTAGAAGACTATGGTATCTACCGTGAAAAAAATAATAATAAAAATCGTCGAAAAAAAAAATTTCAATACTTTATTACAAAAAACGGCCCGGCCGATCTCTACCAAAAACTCATCAGCACGATTCCCAACCAATATCTTTCGAACGGTTTTTGAACATTCAAAATCGATTCAGAACTGCGGGCTAAAACGTGGGCGAAAACTTTTCACACTTCTGCTATTTACAAAGATACGGCTTGGCTGATCGTCGCGCAAAATTGATAAAGGCTAGTCCTCATCGCGATACATTGAAAGGCTTGTAAATTATTGAAATCGGTCCAGCCGTTTTGAGAGAAAACGTCGATTTACGGCAAAAAATCTGTTCATATACACACACACGTACACACATGCACACATACTTTTTCCAAATTTGGTCTCATCTGATTCAGAATGGCTCGAAACGTCGAGAAAACAAAATCAGCAAATCGGATTTTTTTATGAAAACATAAACTTATCCTTCGGGAAGTTAAAAATATGCTTTAAATATATTCTGTTTATCCAAATTAAAACCGTTGTTCTTTTCCTTTAGAAAAGCTCGTGCCGGCGAACTGATCACCGACTCCGGCTTATGCCAGCTGGCTCGTCTGACCGAGATCGACGTCGATGCTGTCGGCGTTGGCGGCGCTAAGAGTTTCTTCGAGGCCAAAATCGAGCAACTGCAAAGAACCAACAAATTTGCCGACGAGATTCGTGAGGAGCAGATGGAACGCCGAAGACAGGAGGAAGAAAAGGCGCAACGTAGGGCTCAGTTTAGAGAGAAGGCAGCCATTTTCCAAACTTCCTAAAAAATTAAAGGATTGAGGAGAAAAGAGAAAGTATATTATTTTATTGAGTTGAGTTTTTTATCATTTTTGTTTTTTTATACTTTGATTCAAATGCAACTGTATCTTCTTATAAGAAGACTGTTGCCAGTTCATTTATTTTTCTATTTTTCGGAATCCTTAATTTAACCCTTTGCGCTTGTATATCACTCATTTTAGAGAGAAGGCGGCTATTTTCCAAACTTCCTAAAAAGTTAAAGGATTAAGGTGGAAGGAGGAAGTATTTTATTTTATTTATATCAGTTTTTTGTAATTTTTTTTTATGAAGAAAAGGCGCAACGTAGGGCTCATTTTAGAGAGAATGCGGCCATTTTCCAAACTTCCTAAAAAGTTAATGGATTGAGGAGGAAAGAGGAAGTATTTTATTTTATTGAGTTGAGTTTTGTGTCATTTTTGTTTTTTTTATACTTTGATTCAAATGCAACTGTATCTTCTTATAAGACTGTTGCCAGTTCATTTATTTTTCTATTTCTTTGAATCCTTAATTTAACCCTTTGCACTTGTATATCACTCTTCCGGCGCCAAAATAGGTATTACTTATGCAATTTACAAGTGACAAGGTTTAAGATCATTCGCTAAATTTAATTGAGGGTTTTTGTTAAATTTTCCCAGTAAGCACGCGACATCAGTGCAATAGTCGCACTGATGTCGCGCCTACGACATGAGACATCGCCGCGTCGTAGTCACGAATGTGTTATTGAGATGGATCCTACACTTGAATTGACATCGCATCGCGATATCTCACTCGCGACCACCGTACGACATCTTAGCAATATCCAATTTTAGTACAAATGCATGCATAATTTTTTTATAAAATTAATAGACAATTTATTAGAAAAGCATTTATTTATTTATAATAATTACATATTATTGAAAGATTACAAATTGGTATGACAAACGTTTACAGATAATTCTATTTTAAAACAATCATAAATAACATAAATCCTAATTTACAATTATAAATAAAATAATAATTTATATTTATATAATGATGCACATTACTCAATCTTATATATATATATATATATATATATATATATATATATATATATATATATATAACAGCAATGTGTAATCTTATATATAACAAATTTTTGTACATATTTGAGGAATTACTTATACAGTAGAAACTCGATTTACAGGACTAATTGTTGTCAATAGGCATTTGGCTAATCAAAAATCCAGATAATCGAATGTATTAAGAATTATGTTGTGTATTTATTAAAAATAACAAGTACATACATAGACAACAACAAAAATAGTGTTTATTAAGAAACACTTTCTTACAAATGTACATATATATTTTCTTAGATTACATAACATACATATACTAAAAACCTATAAACTTGTATGTATGTGCAAGTTGAATATTTGCATGTATATATAAATTGCTCGTGGTTTGTAGTTTGCATAACCGAAAGCCGGGTAAACGAGTTTCTACTGTACAGGGAACAGATATAATTTCTGAACCTATATCATTCTCTAGTCTTGACCTATTTACAATTGTACTCCTCAAATATTGTCTTGACTAAAGTAACTTCTAAGATCTGCCATGTGCTCCTAGGGCAAAAAAGAATATGACTTGTCTCATCTCACTACCGTTTCATCGCACTTCATTATATGTGAAGATTTTCTAAAAGAATGAACATAATATGTATGTATTAGAAAATGTTATATATATATATATATATATATATATGTATATATATATAAATATAGTTCAAAAGACTTACAAATTCAAGACTAGTCCCCATCTTCAGTGACTGTAATTCATCCACAAATTTAACAAGCGGGATGAACTCCGAATGCATTATTTTGAACCATCAATCTTCACGAAATGATCCCAAATATCATCATGTGTTTGATCTTGTAAAATTGACTGGATTTATATCTTCAGTATCATTTTTCTATGACAATACAGCGGCGTGCTCTTGCTAACCTCTTCATTTGACGCATCGTTCAAATATCTTTCATAATACCATACAAATATCAAGTTAAGTAAACGTTAAATAAAATACTATAGATAAATTAATATAGTTATATATATATATATATATGATGTACTTACTTTTCCATTTTATTTCAATGCTAAGTTTACTAACAAGATAAAGCACAAACACCCTTTGTTGACAACCGGCCATCTTTAATCCTAGATAATCCTACTGTTCCTGTACCACAGTAGTGTTACCATATATCATTGCTTCGTGCATAGCAAATTCACAAAATTCAAAAGTTATTCATTTAATATTTGATATTTATTCCAAACAACAAATAGAATTAGAACTAAGCATCTTTTGATAAATATTTTGTTTATGATTAGATTATTAAAAATATATATTTGCGGATAAAAAATTATTTTTGAGCATTTCTATTCAAACCTCGCGCCATCAGTAGAAGCATTTCGGGCAATACTTGTTTTTTTTTTATTTATTTATACTTGAACATTTATTAAATTGAAATAATTTTAACAGAGATCAAAATGATTAGTACGTAATTTCGATTTTTATTTGATTTTTTTTTAAATAAAATTTTTTGAAAAATTGAGATTTTTGAGAATTTTTAAAAAAAAATTGACTTTTTTGAAAAATTTGATTTTTTTTGCCTCGATTTTTTTTTTTAATTTGGAATTTTTTCAAAGCAATCATGCTACGCGGCTATTTCAGAGGAAAAATACCGAAGCGCGTAAGCGCCGCGCCGCAGTATAACGGATAAACTTTAGAAATGTTAACAAATGGTATACTTATTATTAAAGTTTCTAAAATATAAGATAATTTGATGTAACGGTTCTATCTCAATATAAATATAGCTTTTGACATCCTTCATAAAAAACGACCGATCGGTATGTCACAATTGCAATTTTAAACGAACATCTACACCACGTTGGTTTATTGTCACAGCGAGGATGTTGGCAGGGATTTATATAGAATATTGCTACAACATCACGTGCTTACTGGGTTATTTCTTTAACATTTTGTGATATTTACTTATATATTTTTTTCTTAAATATAACACTTATCGTTTGTTGCAATACTAATTATCTTATAAATATCAAATTCAGGAAAAGTATACTATTTTTTTTATTTAAGTTCTTCTCATTTTTTTTTTTTATACTTTGATTCACATGCCGAATACTGTTAACAGCTGTTGCTCTATCTCTTGGAATCCAGAGAACTATCGACCATTAAATAATTTTTAAGATAGTTGATGAAATGTTATTAAAAGTTACTATTATGTTTTATTAATTTTTTGATTCAAGTTTTTGTCATTTTTCTTTTTATATTTTGATTCACATCGAACTCAAAATACAAAAGACTGTTAACAGCTGTTACACTATTTTTGTATCTCTTGGAATCCAGAGATCTATCTACCATCAAGTAATTTAAGATAGTTTATTAAACTTAATTAAGGATTATCGTTATATTTTATTTTTTTGATATTTTGTGATACTTATATTTTTTTATATATTATATTTACCACTTGTTGCAATAATAATTATTTTAGAATATTCGATTGAGCAAAATTATATTATTATTTTGATTAAATTTTTGGTATTTTTGTTTTTTTATAATCTCAATGGCGTGCAACTCAATGAAAAGACTGTTATCACATTTTCTATCTTTTGAAATCCAGAATCCATATTCAATTTAGTTGCACGTTGTCGTTATGCATTTTCTTTTTTTTTTTGATATTTTGTGATATTTGTTTTTTTAAATATTAGATTTACCATTTGTTGCAATAGTAATTATAATCTTATATGTAATGAATTAGATTGTATTTTCGTATTGTAGTATTTAGAATTTAACATTTTTGATGCATATACAATATGCTTTTAGTATTAGGTTTATTCATAAGATGTATATTATTAGGAATTTTATAATTAGAACGTATTATAATTAATTTTAAGAAAGTGCTGACATTAAGATTTCCATAGTAAAGCAGTTAAATGCAAACATTTATTTTTCAAACACCTAAATATTTATAATTATAGTGAATATTACTAGAAATTAGATTGTCTTGAAATTAATTCTATAAGTATAACATGCATTTAGTTCATAATCCTATATGTAAATAGAATGTATAAAGTGTAAAATATAATTATATTTGTCAATATCTGTTTTAAACATTATTGAAAGTGATGAAGAGAAACGATGTTTGCGATTAGGAAATACAATATACAGTATAAATTATAATATGGAATGATAAATTATGTACTTACTACTATTCTTCAAGAATCAAATGTGATTAAACAAAGTAAGTTATGCTTGCAAAGCATTGTTTTAAGTTACCGGAAGAATTTTTAAACGTATTGTTGAAGAGAAAACAAAGCATCAAGAAAGTAATAAATGAAAAGGCTTTAATAACTACCAAACTTAAACTAGTGTAAATGATTTTCACCAAAGAAGAATAAACATTCACAAAAAATGAATATATACAAAAATTTGGGTAAATAAGAAAGATAAAGATGATAGATGATCTGAGATAAAAAATATAGTTCTTCTGCTTCATTAATTAATGTGTTAAAATTTATCATTTATTTATTCATCTTTATGCTTCAGGGAATTGAGTTATGATTTAGGATTATGATCCACATTTAGAGCATGCATTAATATGGATTATAATAAAGTCGTTGTTGGCGAGAGTTCAAAATAATGTAAGGTAAGTTAAACTAAAACTGTAATGATTTTTTTTAATAGCATTTATTTCAAATCCTATTAGTGATAAAAATAAACTTCTTTAAAAGAACAATTATAAATTATTTTTAAATGACTAAGCTACTTTGTTTAAAGAAATCATTTGAAAATAATTCATAATTTTTTGAACAGTATATGTAAATTTCATAGTACATATATGGAAGTTCATATAAATTACATATACTATTTGATCTTAACATTTCATAAATTCTCTATTAGTTTCAACTTTTGAAAATTAGATCAAAATATTAAATCAGATATAAATATTTTTGCATTTCCAATCATTTGCTGTCTGTTTACAAGTTTTGTATAACAAATGCATAAGGTGTAAATGGAATTTTGTCTTAAGGCAAGTTACACCTTTTTTTGATATGGGTAAAAAAATTGTATTTTGTCTTAAGATGTATGAATTTTTTATTGATATGTGTGAATAATAATAATATATGTTTAATAATGTGTTTTCATGCAAATTCGGCTATTCAACTGCACAAATACACACATTGCGCAGATGAACAGCCAATCAGAATTTATTTTTTTAGCAATCAAGTAAAAACGTCTTGTCTGATTTTCACCAAACGTTAATCAGCATGATTACCAATTGATTTATTTTAAACAGTTTTTAATTTCGTATTCAGGACTCTTTGTGGATTCTAAAGAAACAGCTTGGCCGATCATTGCATAAAACTAATAATAGGAAGCCTTCGTGAAGTTTTATCAAATGGGTTTACAATTTTTGAAACCAGTGCAGGCGTTTTTGAGAAAACATTGAACAAAAGGTGAAATTTTTACGTATTTTTACCAATTTTGGTATAAAACGATTCAGAATGACGAGAAGACGATAATTTTCTGGTAAAAACATAAAATTCTTATTTAAGTTATAACAAATGTGGGGTCATGAAAAATGAAATAAGTCTAACTAATATATACTCTTGAAGATAAAAACAATTAAACAAATTTGCCAATACAATTTTATTCAAATTCCATGCCAAAAAACAATAACTAATCATATTTATACAATTTTAAAAACAGATATGTGTTAACAGAAAATTGAAAATCAGGTAATTGAGTCTTTATTTGAAATCAATGTTAGGCTTACCATGAATCTAAATCTAAGTTTAAATCTGGATAAAATTGAATAATATTAAGAAGCATAAACACAGTATATATGCAATTGTTTAGGAATGTATATATCACACAAGCATATATAAAGCATTTCTTAATGTTTTTCTTTAAATAATTAGTTTAAAAATACATGCATTTAAAGCTAATAAGCAAACAAAATTTTGTTCTACAATAAATTACACATTTCAACAGAATTCCTAATCTCATTGGGTTTGGAACCACTTGTTGTATATTGATAGTTAATCATTTGGACATAGAGGGCGCCATATGATGAAGCTAAAAAAATATTCATAATTCAGTTAGCATCAGTGAGTTAGTGATAATGTTTGTACAAATGGAATAACACTATAATTTCTGTTACATTATAGTTAAAGTGTAAAAAAAATGAGTGAAAATATGGCGTCCCATATTCCTTACAATAATTGGTTCACTTACAATCAGTTATAACATCTGCATACAAAATGTAGGTATTTCAATTTTATATATACAATACAAATTTCATTTACAATTTTAGTAGTTATTTTATTAACTAATTGATAATAAAAACCCTTTTAATACACAAAAATGTGTGTGAAATTTATTTAATACTTATGAAAATTTTTAAATCTTTATTGTTAACAATGATTTTTTTTTAAATAGAACAACTTAAAGCAACATTGAGAAAATCTTCGAAAGCTATTGTTATGGTTCCTGTTTGTTGGGAATCTCGTTGTCTGAATGCTTCTGTGAACCTCTGTATTTGTACACACATGACAATGAACTGGTCAACGGAAACCTGTGAGGTAAAAATAGTTGAAGTATAAAATGAAAGCTACAGTTAGTTTAATTGTTAAAATGCTTAAGGGGATATTCTAGTCAAGCATTTTAAATAAATCTTTTTTTTATATATTTTCAAATTTTAACTATTCAAGAATATGTGTACAAGAGATTTTTTTAAAATTTAAATTATTTTTGGAGATATAGCTGTTTGACTACAATAATCCTCCTCAGTTAGCTTTCTTCGAGACGAGTTTTTCTCAAAACTGTCTTACGATACCATCAATTTCTCAACTACTACTGAACCAATTCAACTTAAAATATTTTACAGTGTCTTCTCATTAGTATGAACTTCTTCTCTTCATTCCCAAACTTAGATTTTTACTATTTTTTTTAAAATATCTAGAATAGAATTTTATTGGAAAAAAGACACTATTTTGTCAAAAAAAAATGTATGCAATTCACAGAGTTGCAACATATATATATATATATATATATATATATATATATATATATATATATGTTAAATATGAACAATAAAACACTCAGATTTTTAACACACACTTTATTTAATAATTACAGACATTTTGAGACCATGATATGCCTCATCTTCAGTGTAATTTCAAAGCAGTTAATTCTATACTAACACATTATTGAATATTTTATTTAAATTACATTTAATTTAAAAACAAAACACCAACTATCTCTTACAAAGCTTGACACAGTACTAAACATGTGAATATTTACAGAAATATTTGAAACAAATCTTAAGTGTCGAAGATGAAGGAACAGGATTGATATTATTGTAATGTAAAGAAATGGAGTGCGCGATCGCATACTGGAATCAACAAATGTGAAAACAGATTAATTTATTGAAGAGAATAAGATAAATGAAGAAAACATTATAAATTATTAATGATGTTTATGTAAGAGTTGTGTATAATATTTGTGTTGGTTCTCAGATTTACGCTATTATTAGTCAGAATTATGATTCTGCCATACTCTGTTTAAATAAGTCTTTCTCAAAATTTAAATAAGGCTTGTGGATGATGCTAATATCAACAACCATAAGTTTGATTTTGATAATCCCTAAATCTTTCTTCATGAAAAAGACTTATTTGAACGGAGCATGGCAAAATCAATGTTAATAGTTCGGACTAACAATAGTGTAAATCTGAGAACCGACACAAATATTTTATACAACTCTTATATAAATATCATTCATAATTTATAATTTTTTTTCATTTATCTTATTCTCTTCTATAAATTAATCTGTTTCCACATTTGTTGAAATTAGTATGCGATCGCGCACTCCATTTGTTTACATTACAATAATGTCCATCCTGTCCCTTCATCTTCGACACTTAAGAATTGTTTCAAATATTTCTGTATATATTCACATGTTTAGTACTGTGTCAAGCTTTGTAAGAGATAGTTGGTGTTTTTTGTATTTTGAAAAATTAAATGTAATTCAAATAAAATATTAAATAATATGATAGTATAGAATTAACTGTTTTGAAATTACACTGAAGATGAGGCATACCATGGTCTTGAAATGTCTGTAATTATTAAATAAAGTGTGTGTTAAAAATCATACTTAACATTTAATATTCGTTCCACTCATATCACAAAATTCTATATATATATATATATATATATATATATATACACATATTGTTGAAATTCTTTTACATATATCTTAACCACTTATTTTAAAACATTGCAGCTTACCTCTTTGTGGTTCTGTACGTCACTCTTGTTAACTAGGAATGTTATGAATTGGTCCGAAAATCGAAATCCCATTTGGGTAAGTGCTAGAAATTTATATATAGGTTAGTTATTTGTTGCTTGTGCATGAATGTGTTTAATGATAATGTTTATAGTGAATTCATGAAAAAGGTTCTATATACAATTCTCATCAAATAGAATGTTCAAGAAATTAAATATGAGATTAAATACAAAATTTAAACAATGAGAAATCTAAATCTAAATGAAAAATCTGAACATAAATTATGAAGTATAGATAGTTGGAAAAACTTGTTTCTGTATGAAAATATCTGTATGCGTTTACCTTGGCTCAATTCTTCTTTTTCTATGTGTCCCGAATGGTCCCGATCATAAGTTTTAAAAACAGTCAGCCACTGATTTATATAAGCATATAATTTTTCAAATTCATATATATCTATTGTACCCGTCTTGTCCAAATCAAACATACCTAGTTTAAATCAAAAGCAAAAATGATTATTTATTACACAAATATATATAAAACAAATTAAAGTTATTTACCAATCATAAGCTGGCAAGCATTATCAGAAAAATTTTGGCCTTTTCCATTAACCAAAGCGGATTGTAATTCCTTCGCGGTTATTTTTCCTGATCTGTCTCGGTCGACTGCGTTAAACCATTGTTGAATTTCTGGTGGGACACTCGGTTGAGATTGGGGGTAGGATCCGGGGTAACCTCCATACTAAATAATAAAAATTTGTTACATAAATATTTGTATTACCAAAGTAATTGATTGTTAAAACAAAATGGATTAGATAAGAATGCAATTTGATCAAAATAATTACTTTTTTGAACAAATTGTTGTTTTTATTAATGAGTATTATATTTAATATGGATATATCATTTACAAACTGCAATTCATACTTAATAATAAACAGTTGATTTTTTTTTTCTAAAATGATTTTTTTAAAAAAATTTACACCAGCTGAAGGATACTTTAAATGCGAATATTTCATTCTTAGACACCAATTTAAACAATTTTCTAAGTTCTAGCGTTTATACGTTTGACATTTTAATAATTTTCTACTGACAAAAGAATTACAATAACATAGCCCAATTCTTGCAGTTCCTTGTGATTCATAATTAAATTTACTAATTTTAAATATTTAGCAGACCATTAGTTGAATATAAAGAGTTAAAAGAATATCATCCTTTATTCATTAAATATTTTGTCACAGCCCAATTCTTGCAATTCCTTGTGATTCATAATTAGATGTACAAATTTTAAATATTTAGCAGACCATTAGTTGAATATAAAGAGTTAAAAGAATATCATCCTTTATTAATTAAATATTTTGTCACAGCCCAATTCTTGCAATTCCTTGTGATTCATAATTAGATGTACAAATTTTAAATATTTAGCAGACCATTAGTTGAATATAAAGAGTTAAAAGAATATCATCCTTTATTAATTAAATATTTTGTCACAGCCCAATTCTTGCAATTCCTTGTGATTCATAATTAGATGTACTAATTTTAAATATTCAGCAGACCATTAGTTGAATATAAAGAGTTAAAAGAATATCATCCTTTATTAATTAAATATTTTGTCACAGCCCAATTCTTGCAATTCCTTGTGATTCATAATTAGATGTACTAATTTTAAATATTCAGCAGACCATTAGTTGAATATAAAGAGTTAAAAGAATATCATCCTTTATTAATTAAATATTTTGTCACAGCCCAATTCTTGCAATTCCTTGTGATTCATAATTAGATGTACAAATTTTAAATATTTAGCAGACCATTAGTTGAATATAAAGAGTTAAAAGAATATCATCCTTTATTAATTAAATATTTTGTCACAGCCCAATTCTTGCAATTCCTTGTGATTCATAATTAGATGTACTAATTTTAAATATTCAGCAGACCATTAGTTGAATATAAAGAGTTAAAAGAATATCATCCTTTATTAATTAAATATTTTGTCACAGCCCAATTCTTGCAATTCCTTGTGATTCATAATTAGATGTACAAATTTTAAATATTTAGCAGACCATTAGTTGAATATAAAGAGTTAAAAGAATATCATCCTTTATTAATTAAATATTTTGTCACAGCCCAATTCTTGCAATTCCTTGTGATTCATAATTAGATGTACTAATTTTAAATATTCAGCAGACCATTAGTTGAATATAATGAGTTAAAAGAAAATCATCCTTTATTAATGAAATATTTCGACACAGCCCAATTCTTGCAATTCCTTGTGATTCATAATTAGATGTACTAATTTTAAATATTTAGCAAACCATTAGTTGAATATAAAGAGTTAAAAGAATATCATCCTTTATTAATTAAATATTTTGTCACAGCCCAATTCTTGCAATTCCTTGTGATTCATAATTAGATGTACTAATTTTAAATATTCAGCAGACCATTAGTTGAATATAATGAGTTAAAAGAAAATCATCCTTTATTAATGAAATATTTCGACACAGCCCAATTCTTGCAATTCTTTGTGATTCATAATTAGATTTACTAATTTTAAATATTTAGCAGCCAATTAGTTGAATATAAAGAGTTAAAAGGAAATCATCCTTTATCAATTAAATATTTCGACACTTGTGTGTAATCATTTAGCAATCCTAAACACAACATGAACACAATTATTAATAAGGAAATTGATAAAAAAATATATAAAGTTACGAGAAATATCCATACAAAGTTGCATACATTTGGTGAATATATATATATATATATATATATATATATATATTTGTTATATCTATATGTTCAAAACATTAAGATAACAAGCTTAATTATGATAGCAAATATTTGGAAACTTATATTTATTTGCATCATTCTGATAACTTATGAGTCATTGCATTTTTATAGCTTAGATATAAAACTATTAATAATTATACTCAATTGTTGCACAATTTTAAATAGTTCATATCCTGTTATTAGCCTCTTAATAAAGTTGTTAGTAAATTAATTGCATCAAGGTCTTACTAATAAAAATGCTTAACCTAGAAATAATAAAATTTTAATTGTCCTTTGAATCCTTTTAAAATATCTTTGAATAAAATTCTATAATATATTTAAATCTCACCTGATTATGAGACATAATGGCAAGTTATTTTAAAATGTATACTTTTCAAATTTAAATAAATTTATTTAACAAAATTTAACCAATATGACACTTGTAGCTATTTTGACAGCTCTTCTCGTACTGCTTCTTGTGTTGACAATTGACATTGACTCATTGACATTGACATTTGTGATGTTGGTAAAACGTAGCGTTATCTCACGTAGCCTTTTCTCACTAATCGTAGATGTTGGTATTCAAAGAGTTCGTTGTAAAAAAGATTAATTCAGCGGTTTTCAACCTGTGGGGCGCGACTCCTCGGGGGAGGGGGGTCGTATAACTGTTTTCAGAATACTATTTTCGAAAATAAACCTACATTTTTGAAATGATATTAAAAAATAAACAAATAAATAGTTTTATACATGTTTTTACATAATATTGCATATTATTTTGTAGTCTGATGATATCAGTTGAATATTTATAATATTAAATTGTTGGAAAAACTAAATTGGAGCAGGGGGCGCAGCATTATAAATGTTGGAAATCACTGGGTTAATATATATTTACTACGTTTATCCAGGCGTATTTTTCCGATGTCCGATGTGTTATACGTGTAACCTATACAGTATGAGAATATAATACAATGATACTCCGACTTACGAGTGGGCTGACATATAATTGTTTCGTGATACGAGCCGCCGAGAAATTTTAGTTTTCTAGATATATGTTGATAATAAAATGAAAATATGAAGTAGTGATGCATATGCTATGTATCGTGCCTAAACTAAATTTTTTTAAAAAAATTATTTGAAAACTTTAAACAAATTAAATATTTGAGAATTTTGAAAAAAAAACGACTTTTTAAAAAAAAAATTTTTTTATTCTAAATTTTTTGAAAATGTTTAATTTTCTTTCAAAGAAATGGCGCTGCTTAGCTGTTTTAGATAAACATTAGTAACGAACTCATAGAAATGTAAAAAAATGTATTAATAAAATATCTTGTAATTTGTTGTGCATATGTCTAATGATCATTTTTGACCGCAAAATGGTATTTTTTAAACTTTGTTTGTTGGATCTCAGAAACAGTTGGATCTGCCTTCCCAAAAATTTAATCAGTTTTTCATTGTTTAACAAGTGCATGTTTTTTGAATCATTGATGTCGGACGCTCCCTTCTCTCAAAAACTGAATTACTATTTTTGTCACTTTTTGTCCCGTATCTTCAAAACGGCTGGACCTGCCTTTGCCAAAACCTATTCAGGACGTCTTTCCATCAATAGGAATCGAACGCTTTTTTAATCATTCAAATCAGTTGTTCCGGGGGCGAGAAATTGTATCGAAACATACACACATGCACACGCCACACATCTGCCAAATTGTTCAAAAGGTCAGAGGAGGTCTTAAAAATTATTGCTCAAAATTATTGCAAGTTTTGTTATTCAATTATGTTAATGTTACTGCCCCTATGGAAAGTTTGGAATGTTTTTATTAATTTTTGCTTACATACATTAAGGGCCCCGTATAATAGATACGATAGTGTTACAGTACAAATATATCTACGCTACTGGTTTATTACCAAATACATTTCTCATCCTAATAATCGTCCTCTCTCGCATCATATTTGTTTGTTATTTAAAAAGTACTATGAATATTGAAACCAAACCGACTAAATAAGTTTAGTCGGTAATGCATTGTCTATTTTGAATTGTTTACCATTTAGAGAATTTTGTAAAGATTGAAACAAAAAGTAACCAGAAAGTGCAAAGTTAAGACTTCATGGTGGATTCGATTTGTCAATTCAGGCCTCTTCGACTGCGTTAGTTGTTCATTGTAGACATCAGAATTGTTCATTCGGCTGGTGATAACTGTTCAAACTAGACAATTGCTTTTTACTTCAACTGGACGTTCAGACCGTTTTTTATCTTTGAGTGAAAAATCACCAGAACGAAATTTGGCAAACCAATTTTGACACTGCCATTTCTTAAGGCTTCATCACCATATACTGCTCAAAACTTTTTGTGAGTTTAAGATGTTTTTTCAACTTCCCAAAAACAAAAAAGCAAAATGTGACAAAAAATTTTAGTTGATTTTCCATTTTTCAACGAACACTAATAACAAAACTACGCAATTAATAAAAAAAACTTTTTTTACAGACTAGCAGTTAAATTGCCTTCTAACCAATAACAACAGATATTTTACATTTGGACTACGTTAACAAATCTAAAAGTTCAATTAAAACCATCTAAGCTGAAAACCACACTTCCTTATTTGCCAACCTAATATAAAACGAGCAAAACTACCAATCCAATAAATTATTCTATAGCATTTAAAAATCTAGCATATAGCATTACTGTCCTGTCCATTTCTTACATCGATTTTTTTCTCTAAAGTATAATGCATCGTCAAATCGTTATTTTATACAAATCATCATAGAAGTAAACAATAAATGGAATAATGACGGATGATAAATTGTTGTGAAAACTGTCTTGTTATCTTCACTAAACGGTACTACGCTCGGTAATGGCAGGTTTTATATGCTTGAGAGATTTTTAGGCAAAAATATATGATTTTAGTGTAATTCAAACCCACACCTACACGTATTTGTATGTATATGGTAATAAAATTATACATATGCATATTGCCACTCTCTTTCGCGTTGTTGTAACATTTCACAAAAGTAGTTCACATAGCATTTGTAAAACCAGTTTATTAAATAGCACGATGTATATGTAAATATCATAAGATTGGTACGTAATTAAAATTTGAGTCCAAAATGTCAACCCCAACGATATAAATAATTAATTTATAGGAAAGCTAAGGGCTTGTTGTAACAGTTTTTTTGTAAATTAATGTATTTTGAGATCTTACTGATAATATCTCTACGAAATAATGATGGATAGTTGCTGTAACTATTTCTCTACCGAATCCAATAGAGACAAAAAAAAACTGAATATTGTTTAAGATCCTATTAAAAACGCTTGTTACTACTTACCTGCGTTACATGTAGCCCCTAGCTGCCCTACATATGAATAATTTAGGAGTGTCGGTTTGTAATATTGAAAAAGTCCATTTCAATTCTTGCACATGAATATAAATAGCGTATATACACCAGATTGACATTTTTTTTAATTTTTGTCTGTCCATTGATTTTGACGGGTCTTTTATTGGCAGGTATCTGATGTAATTGGGCACAACTTAGGCTGTTTTACTTTTAGCAAAAAGTATCTTATCTCATCTTATATCATATTATATTATCTTATCTTATTTTATTTCAAATTAACAAAAAGTTGATGAGTTATATTAGTTTTGGTTTTTGCACTTTATCTTATCCTAATTCAAAATTAGTGGAGCATGGCATTGTGCCTTAAGGTAAATTGCTGAAACTTTCCGTTTAAAACTGGAAATTTGTACTTATTATTAAAATTTATATGGAATATCTGACGATTAGATGTGCATATGTCCAATAGTTTATTGATCGTTTTTGATCTCCGATAAGCATTTTTTTAAATTTCTTCTGGCTTCCCGAAACCGCTGGGCCTGCTTTCCCAAAAATTTAATGAATTACTTATTACAAAAATACAATTGAAATGTTTTTTTTGCGTAATGCAAATCAGACGCTCCGTTCTCTCAAAAACTGAATTTTTTGTCCTGTATCTTCGAAACGGTTGAACTACATTTGCCAAGAACTAATCAACACGTCTTCTTGTTAATAGGATTCGATTGATTTTTGAATCATTTAAATCTGTTTATCCGTATTCTTGAAATCGTGGTCGAAAAGTTTTATCCAAGCATACAAACATTCAAACATACGTACATACATGATACACACACATACATTTTTCCATCTCGTTACCTTTAAGTAATAATTATAAATTAAGTACATTTGTTTTCAATTATTGAAATTATTTTCAAGTATTGAAATTGATCAATTGCTTATGGGTTATTTCTGTTAATTAGCAACATTGATAGTTGTTTTTTTTTTTAAAAAAATCATAGGTTGGATGCATTATTTTTAAAATGTGCATGCATTATAATAGGTTGTCAAATATCTCCCTTCCGCTTTTTTGTATTAAACCAAGAGCAAAAAAGCGGAAGGGAGATATTTGAACCTAATAGTTATGATTAAAGGAAAGTCAAATCTCTGTAAAAACATAAAAAAAGGTTAATAGTGCAGCTGTTTTTGCCCCTAAAAAATGTACACCAAATATTGTATATAAAGGAATTTTCCAGTATAGTTAATACAAAAAAACTGAAAATAAATGGCAATCAATATAATAATGCAAAAACTTACAACGTTTTTTTGTTAAATTAAGTCGTTTGATTCAGAGGTCCCAGGTTCGATACCCACTTCGAGCAGCCTGTTGTCAGGCAGCAGTGACAACGATTTTCACTTGGAAATATAGATAGCAATATGTTTCCAAGTGAAAATAGCCCTTGCCCGGCATTGCTGCACCAATAAAAAGTCAGCCCTATTAAATTAATTCTAATAACAAAAATCATCAAATATAGATGGATTAACCATTGGGTTACCATCTAAAAAATAAGAAGTAAGGAGAAGTTTCAGCCCAACAGCTTATAGGACGTAAGGTTCTGATTGTTGTTAAAAATATGAAAAAAAAAATTAAGGTGTTAAGAAGTCGCTAGTATAAATATATTTATATATATATATATATATATATATATATATATGTATGTATGTATGTATGTATGTATGTATGTATGTATGTATGTATGTATTTATTTATTTAATTATTTGTGAGCATCTATCTAATAAAATATCTCGTTTAATGCACCGTCACTTAAGAAGTTTTGCTTCACAGTTAACATATACGTTGAACACATTTTATTTTTGAACATTGAAGTTACTAGAAAGGCGTACAAACAAATTGACTAGCTGACTGATTGACTGCACAACATAATATTTTAATATTTAATTGTTATTATTTCCATCAATTTCAAATTAGTTCGGATTCCAAATAATATTTCAAATGAATATGAAAAACAAGTTGTGTTCGTATAAATAATAACATGTGTTGCAATGCAGGAATTTGTTCCGATTTGTCGAGCAATTTAGAAAGTTCTTGTATTGAAAACCTAACACAAGTTTCACATGATCAAACACACCTTTGCTTCGCCGGTAGTTAAATACATATGTTTCATAC